TCAGCGCAGCCCTTCTCGGCCGATGCCACTGCAGCCGTGTTTATTGCCCTGGCCAATGTCACCACAGCCGACATCTCTCAGCCCAGCCAATGTCACCGCAGCTGTTGTCTCTCAGCCCAACCAATGCCACCACAGCCGATGTCCCTCAGCCCAGCCAATGTCACCACAGCCGATGTCCCTCAGCCTGCAGTGGCTGGCAGTGAGCAGAGAGGGCAGGGGCACGGCAGCCCCCTCCACCTCTGGATGGTGGTCACAGCAGTACCCAGCCTCACAAACCACCCTTGGCCTCCTGGGACAATGCTGTCCCGCTCAGACAAAACCAGCCAGCTAGTGGAGGACAGCCAGGAGATGCAGAAAACATGAACTGCCCTTCTTAGTCTGCAAAACTGGGACAATAATATTTATTCTTCTACTTTGCAGAGGCATTGGGAGGAACCATTCACTAGCATTTGCATAACGTGTTGTAATGCCGTATACACCAGATGTCCCAGATGTTACTCAGAAATTGGTATGGTTCATTTCCCATCCAAACAAGCCCCTTCTGTCCCCCATTTTTCTCTGGGAAAAAATAAAAGAAGAAGAAAAAGGAAACCCAATAACCCATTATTTAGACCTGGGAATAATGAGTGTTTATCTGGATTTTGTAACACAAATTATGTAATGAAGCAGAGAAAAGGCTTTTGAACAAATATGTTAATGAGATGGCAGCTAAGGGAGACGTTAGAGAGTTGCCAATTCCAAATGAAAATTTTTAATGTGATTTTCTTTTGGGTTTTTTTTGGTTTTTTTTTTTTCTTTTGTAGTCATTACCCTGTACAGCATTTGAATGTGCTTTAGGGCTTCCTGCAAACTATACGGGAAATACCAATTCTAGGTCAAGAAATCCTGATCAACAACACACACTGACTGAGAAAACCCCACTGACTCAAAATTCATAATGAGGGCTTTTATGTAGAAAGTTGTTGGGCACAGGGATTGTACTGAAAGGACTGTTCGTTCAGAGCCTCAAAAGCTTTTCTTGGAAAAATATCAGATGCTCCACTGGGAACTCAGTTGAAAGATACTCCTAAAGCAACACAGTGGACTGGCAGTGGCTGGAAAGCACTGACTGGAGGGAAAACGGAAAGTAATGAAACAGTGATTTTCTCTGAATGCTGGTAGTAACTCTTTCCATTTAAATTCTGTGTAAACCTTCCAGTGCATAACATTATTGTACAAGACCTCTTCTGGGCATCTTTTTAAGCGAAGCATCACACAGAGGTAAGTTCTGAGCTGTGTTTTTTTTCAAATTTGATTTCCAAAAGCCTGAGTAGAAGACACTTCTTTTTCTGCTAAGTCCTAGAATGTCTCAGGGTCAGTTGTTTTCATTTTTGTTTTTCAGTGTCAAACACAATAGGTTTTACAGTCCTTGTTTAATATAATTTTGTTAAAACTTTTGCACCTCTGGATGTTGCATGGAGCCTGCAACACGAAAGAACTTTAAAAAGAATGTGAGGAGAGTTTTTGTCTTGAGAGGGAATAGCAGTTCTCTAGCTCAAATGGACTGCTTTTAAACAGGGAAACTGTACTTGTGTGCTTGGACAGCATTTGAATTAGATGGGGAAAATATGTATATCTGTAATTAAATTAATCAGCTGCTACCTGTAAAGCCTCCTTGCCACAGACCACTCTCCTCCAGCAATACCAGGAGTAACTGGGATGATTGGCTTGTAGTGAGCAGGATACACCAGAAAAGCAGCTTTTTGGGGATGATGTGAACTATACTAAATCTTTATTTTCCATTTTTTCCACCTGGACTGATGACCCTGTAATTCCTACCTTTCAAGAGGATTTGATTTCTAGTCCCTTCCTACTAACACAAGCAATGCAGGTCAGCCTTTTTTAACTAGTCTTCAGCAGTATCTCAGTTCTGAGTGGAACTCTTCACAGTGGCTCACATCATTGAATCTGGTATCTGATGTACAAAAGGGAAGACTGCAAGACTCTGTGTGGATTTGATAATGCTGTCAAGCTCATCTATGAATTTGCTGTTTTGAAAGGTGTGGCTGTTCCTGTCCCAGCTGTTCCTTTCCCAGCCACAAGTGGTCCAGTCTCTTGAGCTGGCTCTGGTGCTCACCGAACACTTCACTGAACCTTTTCAGCTCACAAACTCAGCAGAAAAATGTTCTGCTTTCTTTGTCAAGTTAAACTCCAATGAGCCCCAGAGCCACCAGCTGAGAAGCAGCAAGAAAGCCAGGGCAGGTCAGTGGCAGTGAGCCATGAGATGGGCTTGGCCCTGTTACTGCATCATACCCTGGGTTATGTTTTACAATACCTGCGTTTATTAGGGTAGCACAGCAGCAAACGTGAGCAGCAGTGTCTAGTAACCAGGGAAAGGGATTCAGGTACAAGAGACCTCATCCAGCTCCTGGTTCTACTTCATGTCACCACCCACGCCTAAGTCTCTTTGTAACACAAAGCTTTGAGTTCCTTTGTAAACTGAGTTGAAACTTACTACCAAGAACAAGAGCAGCGTGATAGTCAACATTAGGGTATCAAAATTTAACCCAAAGGCTGCTACAATCTTGCATTTCTAAATGGTGTCTGCAACCAAAAGCTAATTTTGCCTACTGTCTTTAAAGCAGCAGTTAAAGATCGTGAAACCACACATCTCACATACATATTTGTAAATACTGCTCTGGTGTCTGCTATGATCAGAGCAGTACTGCCTGGAGGAAAGGATTCTGTTTTTTTGAAGGCCTGCATTTAGTGCTCAATTAGCATGAGCTGAATTTCAGGCTGTGGGAGGTTTTCGATTGAATGCTCTCTTTGAACCATCTAAAACTCCTCCTGCTGGAGGTTTTGCAAGCACGATGGGCTCTCTGCAGCTTCCCTTTGCCCAGCCGTCAGCCTAGTTCTGTAAAGCAAGCAGACAAAGCTTTGTCTGCCTTCTCCTTGGCACAGTGAAGAGGAAGCTCATGGGCAAATTAAGTGAAAGAGCTGCCATTCCTGTAGCACTCCCATAACCAGACAGTGCCAAATGCATCTGAGTTGTAAGCATAGATTGAGGGAGACAGGGAACAGCTGGAAGACTTCCCCAATCGAACATGTTCCTCTGTGCTCCTTTCTGCTGGTGTATGCTGGTCCCTTAAAGAGCAGTGCCCAGCCTTGGCCTGCGTTGTAAACCACTCTCTTCCCCCATTTCATCCAATCACACTCTCCCCTTCCTGCATCTTGATTATGCATTGCACAGCTTTTCCACCTTCTTATCTGAATGGAGGCAGCTTCTCTCTTGTCCTCACTCAATATTCTTCTTCCTGCCCATGTTGTTGCTGTCTGTGATAACAGTGAATATGTGGTTCTAACATCTGGATTCAGTCAACTTCTCAGCCTCCTGGTTACTACAGTAGAGAATGAATTGACACATGTAAACCTCCAACAGTTTCTAAAATAGGGATGGAGGTGTCTTACACATGAAGCGTGCAGTGGCAGGATGGCTTGAGCAAGGGGGTAATATGGTCGGAATTTACCTTTCAAGATTACAGGTTCAGTTCAGTGAAGGACTTTGTCCTTCCTACTCTGCAACAGCCAGCTGCTTTGCTTGATTTTAGCTGAATTCCTAGCAGACTT